ATGGATGGATGGAGAGGCCCAGTCCTATGCGCGAAGAGGGTGAAGACATACCGCCTATGCACTGCATGACGGTATTCCTTCCCAGGAGCGCAGGCCTGTTTTTTACAAAGCCAAAAGAACCGGCAACTGGGAGGAATATAGGCAACATCTAACAACCTACAATAAGGAAATTAGGCTGCAAAACCAGTAGTTTCAGAAAATTCTGGAAATGTCTCTCTACTCCAGAGGCTGCAAGACTGCATAAGGCTCGCCAGAGGTAAGACTGACACAGCATAGCCATTAAGGATCCGATGGACCTATACGACAACGAAACGAAAGGGCAATGGCACTCTTGCTTGAGCACTTCCCGGAGACTATTTGGGACGACCAAATTCCACCAGTGGTCGCACATAAGCCAGATCGCTCAGATTGGACAGCTGCAAAGAATCTATTCAATGCAGACTCAATCAAGTGGGCACTGGCTTCCTTCTCGAAATACAAGTCACCAGGGGCTGACGGCATCTTCCCAGTACTTCTGCAGCAAGGAGGGCAAACTCTATTGCCGTACCTTGTTGGGCTGATGAGGGATAGCCTTGCGTTGTCGTACATCCCATCAACGTGGAGAATAGCTAGGGTAATCTTCCTACCTAAAGTATGAAGGAAGGACTATTCACTAGCCAAATCTTTCTGGCCTATTAGTCTCACCTCCTTCATGCCAAAAGGTATGGAAAAGATTATAGACAACCATATAGATCGAAAGCACTAAAAGTCGCACCTCTGCATGCAAATCAGCACGCGTACACAGTAGGTAGGTCTACTAACCATGCTCTGTACCAACTAACGGCTGAGATCCAGAACTCGCTGGAGAATAATGAGGTTGCGATTTGTGCTTTCCTAGATATCGAAGGTGCTTTTGATAATGCGTCGCACGCAAGCGTGATCAGAGCACAGAGAAAAGGAACGTGGAAGCTCCTATAGCAGATGGATTATGGCCGTACTGCACACTAGGATGCAGAAACTACGTGGGGGAGAGAGATTCGTCTTGGTACTACGAGAGGCTGCCTCAGGGTGGGGTATTGTCACCCCTTCTATGGAGCCTCGTAGTAGATGAACTCCTTGAGTTGCTAACGAGCAATGGAATTCGTGCCAGGGGTACGCGACGACATTGTCATAATGGCAAGAGGGAAATTGAGAACACTCTCTGCGACATAGCGCAAAGGGGTCTAAACCTAGCAAAGGGATGGTGCGACACGGTAGGGCTAATATTAACCTGTTAAAAACACCGTCATCCCTTTCACAAAATAAGATCTCTTCCGGGCTTTAGAATACTATCCCTTGGGGCAGAGAGCTAGAAGTGTCGAGGGAAGTAAAATACTTAGGTCTCCACTAGACTCCACCTTGCGGTGGAACAGGCACGTGAGCTAACGCTTTCAAGGCCACAAAGGCCTCATGGTGTGCAGACGCCTAGCCGGCAGATCCTGGGGCTGCAAGCCTAGTATCATCAGGTGGCTGTACACCATGATCGTGAGGCCTATTGTTACTATGGAGCGGTGGTTTGGGCATCGAAAGCAGCGCAGACTTCGATAGGGTCTTCAGCTATCGAAGCTGCAGAGCTTCCTGCGTCTGCGCCACTGGGGCAATGCGCACCTGCCCCACCGCAGCACTTGAGGGCATGCTAGAGCTCACACGCTCCATTTAGTTATCAATCAGACTGCGAAGCATACCATGGTGCTTATGACAGCAGAGAGTATGGTAAGGGAAGTTAATCTCGTCTCAACAAATGAGGGGCCTTAGAAGATAACACGCCACTGGCCATCCTTCCAAGAGACGGTGTAACGAGAGAGAAACTTTACGAAAAGTTTAAAGTTACTCTCGGCAGTAAGGCGAACTGGAGCGATTCCACACTTGACCAACTGCTGAGAGGTAGCACTATTCAGTGGTACACTGACGGCTCGAAAACACCAGAAGGAATAGGAGCTGGCATTGCGGGACTGTTTTCCAAGCATTTTTCAGGCAGAAGTATTTGCCATAAGTCAGTGCGCAGTACTAAATCTCCAACGCAATTACCGGAATAAGAGTATCGCAATACTCAGCGATAGCCAAGCGGCGCTAAAAGCGATATCGGCATTCGAGATTCGATCGCTATTAGTGGAGGACTGTATAGGAAGGCTTAACCGCCTAGCAGCGTGCAACCGTGTTCACCTGATCTGGGTGCCGGAGCATAAAGGGGTAGCCGGCAACGAGTTGGCAGACGAACTCGCCCGCTCTGCTGCGACTACAAGAATGATGGGGCCAGAACCATGTATTGCGGTAGGGCCCCATACAATAAAGGAACTGCTCCGCACGGAGGAGAGATCGAGAAGAGACAGTCACTGGCAACAGACAGCAGGGATGCGTCAAGCTAAACTGCTACTGGGAGGGTTCAACCTAGCCAGGTTCAGAACAATTATAAACCTCCCCAGAGACAAACTCCGTCTCCTTGTCGCGCTATACACTGGGCACTGCAGGCTCAAGAAGCACCTATCAAACATGGGCATAGCTTCTTGTGGCAACTGCCGATTCTGCGACATGGGACCGGAAACACCAGAACACCTAATCCTCGATTGCACCGCAATTTGTAGACGCAGGCTCAAGGCCCTCGGTTCCATTTTTGTGACCAGGGATCACATTGCCTCAATAGCACCCAGCAAGTATCTGGAGTTTTTCAGGGTGCTGGGACTTTGGGAATGCATGTGATGGAGGAGAGGGCACAATAGACCCTAGGTCGCAGTGCATACCTCATTTTCAAATCTAAATCTAAGGGCTGGGCTTAAGTATAGAATCCCCCGAATTTTAAGATAAAATGGGTATTGGCGGATAGAGGATGTTTTCTCGACTAATTATATAGGAGGCTTATAGTTTTCGAGATATTCGCATTTAATGTTCAAAAATTCACAAATTAAAGTATGCAACTTTTCTATGTATAATGATTTTTTCACTTATGGTACATGTATTATACAATATAATATCCACTAACACATTGCTAAATAGTTCTTACACATTTATGGTAAAAACTATGAGCACCACGGTGTTGGACCGATGATGGTTACTTTTTTGAAGCGCGTCCGAAGACCGTTATTTTTTTGAAGCACAGCCGATAGCCGCAAATGCAGAAAGTAGTTCGACGCGAAA